GACACCATCAGCCAGGAGCAGGCTTGTTTGTGTCCACAGAGAGCAGACATGTTGGTTTTTCTGAAGAAAAACTGTTAAGTGAAAAGGTCCTCAGTGAGCATTAGACACTGACGTGTCACTGATTTGCAACAGTTCTTTTGACCTGAAAATTATTTGTTTATTTTTATGTAAGAAAACTGCTTGGAATAGAAAAATACCCAAGTTCAAAAATAAAACTCACGATTTGTACTGTAATGTGTAACGTAATTTTCTTTTTGTTAGAATTAATATTTAGTACAAATTTGGTACCGAAAAAAGAACCGTCCAGGAACTGTCACCGAAGTGAAGGTATCGACACCGGTACCGATACTGATTGTTTTTAGAAAGGTACCCAGCCTTAGTGGTGAGTGGTGGGGCAGTGCCCTTGTGCCCTATATTGGCCAGCTGCCACTGGTGGTCAAGGGCCAACCCACTCATTTGAGCAAACTAGACTTTTAAGCAATGTAAAAACTAGAAAGCATAGTTTTCTCAAATGATTGAGGTAGTCTGTTTACACACACACATATGTTGGTGGCCATCTTGGCTTTTGACATGGCAACCCATCCATTATCTTCCGCTTATTCCGAAGTCGGGTTGCGGGGGCAGCAGCTTCAGCAGGGAAGCCCAGACATCTCTTTCCAAAGCCACCTCTTCAAGCTCTTCTGGGAGGATTCCAAGGCATTCCCAGGTCAACCAAGAGACATAGTCTCTCCAGCATGTCCTGGGTCTTCCCTGAGGTTTCTTCCCAGTCGGACATGCCCAAAGCACCTCCCTAGGGAGGCGTCCAGGGGGCATTCTTACCAGATGCCCAAACCACCTCAATTGGCTCCTCTCGATGTGTCAATGTGGAGGACCAGCAGTTCTACTCCGAGTCTCTTCCGAATAACTGAACTTCTCACCCTATCTCTAAGGGAGAGTCCAGCTACCATGCGGAGGAAACTCATTCCAACCGCCTGTATCCGCAATCTCATTCTTTCGTCACTACCCAGAGCTCGTGACCATAGTTGAGGGTAGGAACATAGACCGACCAGTAAACAGAGAGTTTTGCCTTACAGCTCAGCTCTCTCTTCACCACAATGGACTGGTAAAGAGTCCGCAATACTGCAGACGCTGCACCAATCCGTCTGTCAATCTCACACTCCATTCTTCCCTCACTTGTGAACAAAACCCCGAGATACTTGAACTCCTCCACTTGAGGCAGAACCTCACCCTCGATCTGGAGAGAGCAATCCACCCTTTTCCGATTGAGGACCATGGCCTCAGATTTGAGGTGCTGATTCTCATCCCAGCCGCTTCACACTCAGCTGTGAACCGCTCCAGTGAGAGCTGAAGATCACGGCATGATGACGCCAACAGGACCACTTCATCTGCAAAGAGCAGAGATGGAATCCTGAGGCGACCAAACCGAAAACTCTCCGCCCACTGGCTGCCAGAATCTCCTCGGAGCCGACCGAGAGTCGTTATCCAAGGTCTCACCGAACTCCTCCCACATCCGAGCTTTTGCCTCAGAAACTGCCAAGGCTATAGACTGCTCGGCCCTCCGGTACTCCTCAGCTGCCTCCGGAGTCCCACTGGCCAACAAGGCCCGATAGGACTCCTTCTTCAGCTTGACAGCCTCCCTAACCTGGGGTGTCCACCACCGAGTTTGTGGATGGCCACCGCAAGAAGCACCGACAACCTTGTGGCCACAGCTCAAGGCAGCTACCTCAACAAGTGAGGCACGGAACATGGCCCACTCAGACTCAGTGTCCCCCACCTCAGCTGAGATGCGGTTAAAGCTCTCCCGGAGGTGCGAGTTGAAGATCTCTCTGACGGGTTCTTCTGCCAAGCGTTCCCAGCAAGCCCACATGGCAACCCATTTACCAATAATGACCTTTCTTACGCATAAATGCAGCCACTTACCGAAATAGTTGTCACGTTGTTCATTTTTCAAGATGTCTCTGGGCAGCACACCTCATCCCCAAAATGCCACCCGGGCGCTTTCAATAGCTGCCCACTGCACCACCTGGTGGTGGATGGGTTAAATGCAGAGACTAATTTTGCCATTGTATGGAAACATACAGTGCTGACATTGTGATGACATTATTATTATTATTATTATTACAATGTTTACTTAGGCGTATATGGCAGCAACCATTTTGGATTTTTATCTGGCAACCCCATTTTATGAAAAGAACCTTTCTTATGCCTTGATATAGCCACACACTAAAATGGAAGTCGGTACCTCACTTATTTTTTTAAGTTATCATGCTTGCATGCACGAACATGCATGGACGAATGGAAGTTGTTTCCAATTCCCCCACTTCGCTTCACGACAGCGGTCAACAAAGAGGACCACGTGGATCTAATGGAAACCTCAGTGGGACAGCTTATTAAATCAAGTTAAAAAAAAAATCAACAAAAATCAACTAAAACTGTTCTTTTAAAAACAAGGCTTTTTATATTATCTAATTAATTTTCTGTGTTGTTGTTGATGTTACTAACTTTACTTAGAGGAAGCAAGTAAAGAGTAAGTGGTCTAAGCACTGAACCCTGAGGAACTGCACGACTAATACAGATCAATGCTAGATCAATGCTTTTGATGTCCACTTTTGGACTTTTATGTCTTTGTTTAGCGTGGCAATCCCAGAGAATGTTCCTACCACCACCGTGCTTAACAATTGGTACAATTTTTTTAAGAGTCTTGGCTTGTTGTGGCCAATTTACGTTTATTTTTAACTCATCTCATCATTAAACGTTCATTCAGAATGTTTAATGATGAGATGAGCTAGAATGGGTTTAAACTCACCTAATAAAGTGGAAGCAATGCTTCCTATTTGCAGCTGTATGAAGCGTTATAAGTAAGGACCAGCTCCTGAATGGAAACGGAGACAGTAAACTGACTCTGTGGTCATTATACCCTGAGAGATGGGCAAAAAGCAATTTAACTGAAAACTGTAATGAAGTAATTACAGCTGATAAGGAAAATGAGCTTGCACCACTCAGTTTGTGTCCTGCTGGCTAATTTGGATCTTATTGTGGCTTTAATGAAGTGTAATGTCATAATGTTAGCTTTAAGGCAGAGTAATGACGATCTAAATGAAGAGAAGCCTTCAGTTAATGATGGACGATAGAAGAATCAGAGATAAACCTGTAGTCATTCAAAGTAATTACACTGTGATGGTGATGGACTCTCTGCTCTGTCAAAACACTGACCCTAGCTCAGTTTGTGTGAGTGTGGATAGTCATAAGCTGGGATGACCCTGGATCTGACTGGACCTTCAACCATCCCTCAGCACCCACACACAGTCAGAAGGGCTTTAATTGAAAGGCAGCTGGTGTATTTAGGAGTCTTTACTGCCGAAAGAAGCAGCTGCACTCACACTCACTTTCTGTGTGTGTGCTACGTAAAACTAGAGAATAAGGACAAAATTAAGAAAATAAATACAGAACAAATAAAGAGAGGAGAGGCAGATCCTCTGACTGGAATCAGTGTTGCAGCAGGGCTCTTTTTTCCATTGATACCTCTCAGCTGATGCAGCTGGGGTCTCTGTGTTTGTGTGTGTGTGTGTGTGTGTGTGTGTGGTGGTGGTGGTGGTGGGGGGGGGGGCTACACACTCATCCTGTGAGGGGGCCTTTGAAGTCAGCACCACTAAGCACAGAGGCTCTGCAGAAATGAACCCAGACTAGTCAGAGATGTGCAGCATCAATTCTTCTCTTCCTGTCAATCAGGCTGCACCACAAACTCTGTCTATCAACTCATGTCTCAATCAACAGAATCTTACCACACAAATGACAGTTAGGGTGCATTCACACCAGCCCTGTTTAGTCCGCTTTAATTGAACTCTAGCTCGTTTTCCTAGGAAGTCCAGTTCGTTTGGGGAGGTGTGAACGCGCCATCGAACTCTGTCACGGAACAAAAATGCAAACTCTGGCCTGGGCTAAAACCGAGGTCTCGGTCCGGTAGAATTTCAATTTCAATTCAATTCAGTTTATTTATATAGCGCCAAATCACAACAAAGTTGTCTCAGGGCACTTTACAGAAAGAAGAGAACTCCAGCGCAGTTCAAGTACAGTGTGAATGCAATCAGACCCGCTCCACAATCAAGAAGTGGAGTACAGCGCAACGCAAACAAACACGCATTTCTCTGACCTTATATGGAGCCGTCAGCTGCCTTGTGTGAAAAATAATATTCTCCATGGTCTTCTGCCTCATCTTCTGCTCATGCCGAGTCCATTTTTGAAAAATGACAAAATAAAACTCCTAAAACTGCTAAAACTTGATGCCACTTCATTTTTGTTTTTATTTCCAGAAGAAGAAGTGTCTTCAGAGGTTTTTGTGTTGTTTCTTTCAGTAGTTCTTGGTGCAGCGCCCCCACAGGCGAGCGGGGGAACAGGTTGGTTCAACAGGTTGGCTCGACTGCACAGTGCAGTGTGAATGCAAACGCACCATTTCAAATGTAAACAAAATGTTATGGATATTGATCCCCAACCGAACCGAGTCTACCGGACTATCATGTGTGAAATCAACCTTATTAGACAGCACAGGATAAATGTCAGTGTTCTGTGATGGGCTGGACTTGGATTGGTCTTCACTTAAGGTCTTAAGTTTAGCTGAAGGTCCTGTGATGGTCTGGGCTTCAATCAGATTTCTGTAAGTTTTGAAGAAGGAGCAGGTTTTGGACTAAACTTGTTCTTTGAGGTGACTGTATATTATCCTGCAGGTTAAATGACCTCTCAGTATCGTCCCCTCATTTGTCAGATTGCTCACTGTGGTATGTTTAATGCCAAGTTTGCTCAGTACTTTACTGCTTTTTATAAATCTGACAAATGTTGCATGATTTTTAGTCTTCCTAACAGTGTTTTGTACAAAGCTCCTTATTGATCACTTTTCATAAGTTGAAAATACGTGTTTACTTAGTCTCCTACTTCTTCTGCTCTGCTGACGAAAAGTCTAAGACACGAGGCTTCTCTTCGGTAACAGGACTGTTCCTGTCTTGCAGACTGGCATGATGCGGAGCTTATGAGAGATATTGAAGCTGCAACTGGGGAGGACCTTGGTTCTGATCGGGTGTCTGGGAAGAAAGGGAAGGGGAAGAAGAAGAAGTATCCCAACTTGAGTGATCTGAAGCAGAGCAGCAACACAGCACGCTCCAGGCTGGAGAAGAAGGTTTTCAACAAGTACGTGAACACCACTCTGTGTGCGACTAGTTAGACTGGAGTAACTTAATGTCTCCTTTTGTGTGTAACTGGTTAGACTGGAGTTGATCATCTTTTTGTCCTCCTCCTTCCAGGAGCGCTGTACGCAGAGTGGCTCAAGTGATGAGTAAAGCGGACCAGAGAAAACACGACAAGTTCTCCAACCAGTTTAACTACGCCCTGCACTGACCTTCATGTCTGATGTTTGGTGAAACTCTTTAGTCCCCACCAGATGTGTTCCAGATGTTTGGAGCAGGTTTTAGTCAGCTGAAGCAGTCATTCTCTATCCAGAACCATCGGAGGAATTCATCTGATCTGGTTTTCAGATTAAGGAAGATTACCAGCACCATTTTCTTTTACTTTTAGTAGCAGCTGATTTGACAAAACGGCAAAAGGCTTTATTGAGATGGGATTTAATATTATTTTTTTATTTGTGGGTGGTGGCTGTGGATTTGTGTTTAGAGCAGCTAATGAGAGTCGGAAGTTCAATTCCATCAATATGCAGTCACTTGTTGAAGTGTCCCTGCGTAAGACACTGAACCCCTCATTGCATGTGTCCCATCAGTGTACGAATGTGATCTAAAGTATTGATTAGTCTCTATAGAATGATTTGTTCAGATAATCTTTGTACAGATATAGTAGAGTGCTGTATGAATGTGTGTGTTGGAGGTAAATGAGGCCACAGATTGTGCTGTAAAGCACTCTGAGTAGCCTGGTTGGCTAGGTGCTATATAAGTACAGTCCATTTACCTTTATTACATGTGTGAGAGATAATTGTCAAAATATTTATTAGTAATACTACCTTTATGATTCTATTGTTGTTGTTATTTATATCAATTGTATTTACTTTTCATTTTATAGGATTTTATGATTGTCTGTTGTCTGTACCTCTTCTGTGTTCTTTGTTTAAATCACGTTTCTCTTGTAAATGAGTCCCTGTGACTCAGTGAGGCTAACCTGAATAAAAAAAGGTTGAATGAATTGTCTAAATTACTTAATTTATACTTTTTCTGGGTGTCTCTCTTGTTGATTTTGTATTGTGAAGTTAGTGGAGATGTTTAAAATAAATGATTTATACCTGAAGAAGACTCTGCTCCAGCTTCTCTTTTTTCTTCATTGTCATGTTGTCAATGTTATTTTTTGAGTTACAATCGGGTTAATTGAAGAAAAAAATGTGCAGCGAAGAAACAAAGAAGGAACATAAACATGGACCAATAAATATCTTGTTAAATTTAATAAAACATTTTGAAAAGTTTTGGTTTCCAGTGGGACAAACAGGACAGTTTACATCTTTCCACTGAAATCTGTTGCTTTTTTACAATTAACGTTCAGTAAATCACAACACAATAAAAGAAAATGTTTGGAATTAGATTTAATCTGAAACATTACATCCTACATTTTCCACAATGCAACTTATTAGTCACCCTCAATCATTTGTTCTGCACAGTAAAACCCTCAGCCTTTTAACTGCAACCCCCTTCTGCTGAGAAGGTTCAGAACTGTGTAATAAAGACCACTGAAGGTAGGTGCTTAGTGCCCTGAAGCAGACGTGCAGACTGGTCGGAGTACTCATGCTGAAACCATCAGAACCATTTCTGGACGGGACTACAGAACAATAAAAACTGACAGTCAGAGTGAAGCATTAGAAGATGGTGATGGTCTTGGTTTTGTTGGTGTTCACATGGAGAAATGGACAATATGTTCAGGTTTCATTTCTGTTCAGAGAGGAGGACCTGGTTTCTGATCAGAAGGCTGGGAAGAAAAGACAACTGGAAGGACTGGCAGAAGTTTTGAATCTGCCTTGAAAAGAACAGACTGGTTTTCAGATTTTGGACCTGTTTGGAGAAACATAGGACAAATGGAACATGACAGAACCAGTGATGTAACAGAATGTTGTCTCATTTTAGTTCAATCACTTTGCTTCCCCGTTCTGGTTCTAATGAAGGATTCTTTCTGTTAAAGTGGTTGTTCTTCTGCACTGTCTTCCTTTGTCCTGTGGGGCTCAAGATGGGGGCTTGAATCCCATCCACCCCTGGTGCCCTACCATTGGGGAGCTTTTTAACCACCTCTGTGACCTCTGCCCTGGTAATGAACTTGCCGTACCTTGAATCTTTACACTGCCTTTTCAAAGGTGAACATGATGACAGGATTATCCTGTTTTTCTTCCATCATATAGCAATTCTCCACCCAAACCAAACAGCCAGGGTCAAGGCCCGCTTTCCATTTATAATTGGACAAACATTTAGTTTACCAGTTTACCAGAACCTCCTTGAGGCCAAACAAATACTCAACATGCCACCAAGTGGCAATCAATTATCTGGCTCTGTCTTTGCCAGAGTGTCCAAGACGTAGACGTAGAGAAAAGATTTAAAAATCTATCAACAATCTTAGGCCAAAGGTGGCTGCCAGGTACCGAGTAGACTCACGGATTGCCCTACACTTGAACACGGGGTTTGTTATGGACAGCCCATGCTGAGCATAGAAGTCTGATAGCAAAACTTGGCTCTGGTTCAGATGTGGGAGGCAGTTCCTGACATCTCCCAGAAATCCCCAGATGAAAACCAGGTATTCTGAATGATGCACAGGCATGAACAAGTCAAATCCTTCACTCCTGTAGCTCAAAACCACAGAGAGGCAATTCTCTTGTTTACCAGGGAGGACTCCAACACCAAGGCGCCCAGCAGGGGGCTGGTGAGTATCCCCACATCCACCTGACCCCTCTGTCCCTTAATTGGCAACTCTAGGGTAGAAAAGAGTCCAGCCTCTCTACAGGAGTTGGGTTCCAGAGCTCAAGCTGTAAATGGAGGTGACTTGGTATCACTCAACCTTGCCTTTGAGCTCCGGATTGTTTTCTGCCAGTGAGGTGGCCAGGAATCAGCTTTCCCAGGGCTCCAACATCTGGCTCACACGGCACCCTATCTTGATAACTCTCCCTACAATTGTGGATCCTCACTGAGGTGGCTTCCTGTAGCTTATTTGGGCTTGGCCCAGTTTAGCCCCAGAACCAAGAAACAGTCACCAGCAAGCAAGCAAAATCCTCAGACACCACCACCATGAAGGTGCTCAAGCCCTTTACCTTGCTGACATTTCTGCAGAGGAACCTGGACCTCATCAACGGGATGTCTTGTTTTCTAAAGATACTGAAGAAATCTCACTGAGATGGGAAGTCTTTCCTTTGGCTCCAAGGTTTGAGGTTTTCACCTGTATGGAAATGAGTTTTGGACAAGGATCCCTTATCTTTTTTTAGGTCTCCTTTAGTATTAAACTCTGTTAGAATTTTGTATTTACTCATGGAATTTTGTCATACGTTCTTTGAATCAACATTGGATCTGATCGATCGAGACAGTCACTTTTTTTTGGGGGGGGGGGTAGTTCTACCTGACATCTTTAATGTTCCAACACTGAAACAAGAATGTCTCAATTTGAAATTTATCTCTTAACTTTAACCCTTTGTCTGTCCTCAACTCTGACGGAACCAGCACAAGGAAACCAAATAAACACCTTCTGCTTGATTTACCTGGACAGAAAAGTTGAGCTGAAATATTGAAAATGTTCCTTGACCTGTTTTTATAAAATGTATTTTTGTGATGTGAGCCAAATTAAATATTTGGTTTTAGATCTGAATTCACTTGTAGAAACGTTTTAAACAACTTTCCAGTTAGCACATTTAGAGAGCTGTTTTAGTGTTTCAGTCACTTTAATGGTAAAAAGAAAATCTAAGTGAGAACATGAACCATGAACCTTTTACCAGCTCAGTGACTGATGAGACGTCCACTAAGAAGCAGAGGTCATCCAGATGATTCTATCAGGATCCAAACTCCCTCCTCACCTGACGACAAGGGTGGACGTCCCCCAACAGTTTGGATCATTGTGAACCAGAACCAAAAGGCTTTTTCCTCTGTTTACTGTCAACGTTTTTCACAGCAGGTTGGGCTGAGGAGCGAATCGGTCCAATGAGCTGAAAAACTAAGAGGAAACGATCACAGCTGACTAACACAACAAATTCTTACATCATAAATTATTACATTATATTATATTATATTACATTATAAATGATTACATTCAGTGTTTGGACGGACTTTCATCAACCAGGAAGAAGGAATCAGCTTCTTCTTCAGAACGTGTCCAAACTGTCTGATGTCTTCAGTACCTGAAGCCTCCTGCTTCTGACCGGGGGGGGGGGTGTGTCTACAGATGGGTGCTGTAGAAGGCAGGGGCAGCGTAGCTCTGTGTCCCCAGCATAAACGGAGACAGGACGTGGCTGGCCGTCAGGAACGGCAGCTGGACCAGGCTCCCTGTGGGGGGGTGATGGTGGCCCGCGTAGCCTGCGTGCATGGCCAGGTGCCCATTGACTGGGGGGGATGGGCTGAGAGGACTGAGACCCCCCAGGCCTCCTCCTGATCCTCCACCTGCCCCATTGCCTGCTCCTGCTCCGGTGGGGGCAGAGGTGTCGGCTCCGGGGTTTTGCTTCTTCCACTTGGTCCGCCGGTTCTGGAACCAGATCTTGACCTGGGTCTCGGTGAGGGACAGGGACAGGGCCAGGTTCAGGCGCTCACACACAGACAGGTACCGTGTGGACTTGAACTTGTTCTCCAGCGCCACCAGCTGTTCGTAGGTGAAGGCAGTCCGAGCCCTGCGGGGCTTCCCTGACTTTGAGTCAGAACCAGAGCGTTTTCTCTTGGGTTTGGCCCCGGGGCCCCCATTGCTTTGGCCATTGGTGATCTGCGCAGTGGAGCCCCCGCTCTTGGTGTCTCTGTTGTCTGGATGGCCGTGCGGGCCCAACTCTCTGTCTCCATTGGTGGGAAGAGCCGAGCTGCTCTCCTCGCTGCTGTATGGTCCGTCTGCAGCCTCAGAGTCTGGAGTGTCAGGTCTGTGGTAGTCCTCCTCATCTGGGCTTCTGTACACAAAGGCCTCCTCTAAAACACACACGCACACAACAAGGGGTCATGTATATATTGAGTGACAGCGCCCTCTACAAGTGATTTACCACCAGCAGCTGCACAGATGAATATTGTAGGCGTCAGGGTGTACATGTGAACAGGTCGAGAGTTTTCATGATGAGGTGGGTTCATAAAACAAAGAACTCCAAACTCTTCACCTTCGTCTCGTCTCAGCATCTGGACCAGGACTCTGAACCTTCAGGTTCAAAAGGAGCCATTTCTCATTTTTCTGCAACTAAATCAAACTTGCCCACAAAACATGAAGTGAAAAAGTCAGATGGTCTATAAACATACAAATAATTTAAAAATACATATTAAACTATTATGTGACATTATGAAGTCAGACGTTTACAATTAATAGTCATTATTAGTATTAGGACAAAAGACCAGATCAAACACAGAGAGGAAATAAAACATTTAAATGATCCCCTTTGATCAAATATGAACAGCTTTTATAACCATTTATGAACATTACTAATCGTTAGTTTTTCTGTCAGCTGCTCCTGCAGGGGTTGACACAGAAGTGAACTCACATAAAATATGTTTAAATTGTTTTACGCTGAACGCTGTCCCTGACAGAACCTGGGCTCGAACCAGCAGCCTCAGGACTAGAACCACTGAGCACCGAGCTGCCGCAGCCTCCATGACTGCAAACACAACTCTTTGGATTAGACTCTTCGTTTATGTCTTGGGTCTTTATCTCCATGAATCTGACACGTTTTATTAATCTGTGTTCTCATGACTTTACTTGTTTTTTACATTCAGCAGCAAAACTGTGAAAAATGTTGGACTGTTTAAATATCTCCTTTATTTATTTCATTTTTAGAAACATATTATTATACATCTATTTATTTATTTATTTATTTATTTAGTTAGTTATTTATTTATTTAGTTATTTAGTTATTTAGTTAGTAGGTGAGTGGTGGTGCGGAGGTTAGAGGAGGTGGGCCTATATGATCAAACGGTTGCCAGTTCAACTCTCGGTACCACCAACATCAAAATGTGGGTGGGAAAGGTGAAACACCCACACCTGCCTCCACCCCCATTTGTCCCACTCTGGGTCCTTGAGCAAGACCCTTAACCCCCACCAGGGGCGGACTGGGACAATAATCCAGGCCGGGAATTTTGATACCATCCCAGGCCACCACCACCTGATTAACGCAAACCACCAAGACTGAGTTCAATTGAGCGCACTTTGAATGCATGTTGTTTGCACACGTCTAAAAAGCCATCCATAATTTCCCATCTATTCATTTTCACTTATTGACTATTTATATGTATTGGCTATTCATATAACAAAAAAAAGTTCTTAATCTCAACGGAACTTTACCTGGTAAAATAAAGTTTAAATAAAATATTGTAATACAAGGATTTTAATATTCAGATAATTTATTGGAGTAATGAAGGGTATACACAAAATATCCTCAATAATCCAGGTAGAAAATCTAAAAAAGTTAAGTCAGGTCCTCTGGACAGATTAAAAAAAAAAACAACTTTTTGAAACGTTTAGTCTTTAATCCAAAAGACTGTCAATTTGAGAAGCTGCAACAAACTTAGTTTCAAATAGTCTCTTTTCATAGTGGATCAACCAGTTTGTTGCTGACATCCAGAACTAGCTGTTAACATGATAAAGGAGGACCATCATCAGCCTAACAATGGATCGTTAGTGCTCTAGGCTGTTTGCTATTCACAGGGGGCTGAGAGATACCAGCAATAACAGCATTGTAAGAGGGCTACAGTTGGACACAGAGGCCTCTGTCCCTGTTTAATGATGGATGAGTTCTCATCACAAAGATGGCTTCCTTTACTCCTCTCTCAAACCAACACTTCTCTCTATCAAGGATGAGCACATCTTCATCCCTGAAAGTGACTGCTGGCCTGCAGATGAGTGTAAACCACAGAGTTCTCCTGGCCTGATGATGTTGCTCTTTGGCCCAGCACAGAAGAGCAACATCTTCAGGCCAAGACTCGGCAGTTTACACTCATCTGCAGGCCAGCAGTCACTTTCAGGGATGAAGATG